TAGTATATTATATATCTATATATATACTATATGTGACGTGTGTATGTGTGTCTATGTGTGTCTGTGTATCTGTGTATGTATGTATGTGTGTTTATCTAGTTTTATTATATATATATATGTGTGTGTGTCTGTGTCTGTGTGTGCCTGTGTATCTGTGTATGTATGTATGTGTGTTTATCTATATATTTATTTATATACATATATATATGTGTGTGTGTGTGTGTGTGTGTGTGTTGACTTAATATACGGGTGTGTGTGACTTAGAGATAGATAGCTATTTATTTTACTTGAGATTTTGTGTTGATTTTTGTAAGTGCAGCTAGCTCTACAAAGAGCTCTATTTGGATGAACACTTTTTGATCGTAGTGCGCATGCAACGGGTATAGAGGAAGTCAATTCCGGTTTTTATATTTTTATTAGCTGGATACTGTGTCTCCTAAACCCCCTCTAACCATTCCTCTGACTTCTATTTAATTATACATACACGGTTACGAGCTTATTTCATGTTCTCAGCCTGATGAGTTTATGATCCCTCTGCTCAGAATCTACACTGTATCAGCGACGGCAAACTTGTCTGTTCTGTAAAAATCAACGAACCTGTGGTTGCGATGGAAACGGGTTGGTTTCTCAATATAGACGCATCACGAGGAGAGTCCCACACACAACAGTTGCTTTTCGTGGATGAGGCTGGCGATGCCTTCGTCCTCCATCGATTCAAGGTATGACCAGTGTGGTGTGGTGTAGTCGTCACACTATATTGTGGCACGTACTTCTGCTTCACGGAGCTTGCCAGAGAACACGTGTATCTTCCCCTCTGTTGCTGCCCTGGAATGGACCGATGGATATGTATCTCTGTTTTAGTATTCTCTGCGATAGTTTCAAATGTGAGTCGGTTATGTCACTCTATGCGCTATCCTTTCCTCTCTCGCTCTTGGTGCGACCTGAAACATTTTCTATTTTGTCACAACAATGGCCGTATTAGTGCATACAATTCGGCATTGTCAATACCCTATCGTTGGTTACAAAGTTGAAATCATCCGAGGCTCTGATACGCGGCATGGATTACCTTACTGTAATCAGTGAATGATCACGAGTACGTGTTGTGTGCAGATAGGCGCTACATAATCTGCATCATAATCTGCAACTGAACCCCGTGGGTAGGCTACGGCGTATGTGTCCAAGAGGTCTCTTACGTCCTGTTCATTTTGTCTGTAAGAAACAAGCACACGTGCAGACTCTCCAAGAACTAATAGTTTTCTGGATGGAACTTGACCAAGTGGGGTCTTCCTAAACCCATAAGACATACCTACATACAGTGCTGACCTGGCTTTCTGCTGCCACTTGTTATGCACACAGGTGCATGCATATGCCCGCCACGTTAACGCCGTAACGCACATTCAGAGGATTCCATTGATGGCTATGGGCAGCGCCGTTGATGGGGCTGTGATGGTGGGGCGTTGGAATACGATTAAGGTATTCCTGGACAAAGAGGTATATGCGCAGCTTGTTATTTGTGTGCTAGAACTAACTCGATCATAGAGCCTTAGTACTGGCACAAGTGTTATTTCCAGGACATCTTTCATGTATATGTAGTGTGTCTGTATTCTATTCTGAGCTGGTTCTCTATAACGCAAGAAACGTTATTCGTGTCCTATTGCTTGTTGTTCAATTCGCAATAGAGTGTGGTCACTGGTACTGACGTAGCCCAGGGAGAGAAGTATATGATGCATCAGATTCTCTTGCGGAGTGATAACTCGTCACGCAGATGTCTATCGACACCTCATGTTAGTCTGCACTTCTGACTATGAATAGTCGACCCCTCATCAGTGTCTGTGCGTGTGTATGCCCATCCAGCAGCTGTTTGACATGGCAGTCGCTGTATTAGCTACTCAATGTCTGGGTTCAAGCGACCGGATCGACCTCTGGGCCCAATTGCACCCCATCCCACGATGTCACAAACATATGTTTAACAAATCATACAACGGTGCTTATACCTCAATCCTCGACTTGCCACTCGTCGCACTCAGATGGTACAAGACATACCTACTTCCAATTGGGTCAACGGGGTGTGCCTAGGAGAATTCGCTGTAGATTCAATAAGCCCTCACCCAGCCGATGACCCAGCGCTTCGAGGGCCATCCGCTCGACCTTTACACGTGGTCACCAGCCAATCAGATGGTACCGTGAGCATATTCAGTGTTGAGCAGTACCCCTCCCCCTGTATACCGCAGACGTGAGTGTGCTTTGCATACGTCGCAACAAGCTGGTGACTAAGGCTGCGTGCACTAGACGGTGTTATTCTCCCTACACGTTACGACACCCCACAGACGAACGAGACCGTACCACACAATCACCGCAGTATGGCACAAAACGCAATGCGCCCGGGCCAACGTGAGTATGGAAATATCGAGTACTTCTCAAGAGCTCTGTGGTTAAAACTTTGTGCTTGTGCGATAGCCGCTGGACCAGCAATGTGCATGATTTTTCAACAAGAGGCGTGTGTCACGTAGCACATCTATGCCGAGAAGAGTCCCCTCGAGGATTCTATACCTTATTCGTCATCCGAAGTACTCCAACGGACACAAAACACTGTATTGTATATACGTGAATGGTGGTGTAATCCACACCCTAATCCGTCCTATACAAAAGATTTATCTGCCTTTAGCTCTATCTGATTGATAATGTGATTCATCTACCTTTAATCCTATCTGATTGACGTACTGTGTCTGCTGGCAGCACATCACGTGCGGCATTGGTACAATCCGACCTCGTAATATTGGTTACTATATTGCGCGTGTGAATGTGTCTCATTTTCGGCGAATTCTGGCTCCACATTGATTAAACGTTGTTGTCGAGTACCTACCGTTTATGTTGTGATACCTTCACGATAAATAGGCAGCAGAGCGTTCTCGTTGAATCGCTTTGTTTTTTAGAACGTTTATTCTGATGCGATGCAGCGTATTGTAGAGCGACTATGGTAGTTTAAAAAGTTATCCCCGATCCATAGATCTCTGACTTTTTACGCATCCGTACGTATCTATTAAATCACCGTGCACTATACACTGGACTATTAGCGGCGAAGTCTCCTCGGTGTCTCTGGAGAACGCCAAGACTGTAGTGATTAAATTAACTTGACATATGCTGAATGTACTGCATCAGGAATATGATCACATTTGTATTGGGGCGCACCGCATTGGCAGGCAAGTAATAAATTTACACACGTGCGCGTTGCTGGTTCATTCAAAGCTGCAGTCAGCAAGTTACAGTTTTCAATGTGCATTTCAAGATTAACGATTGACATGTTCCAATGCTTGGCCCAGTATATGAACACATAGTATGAAGATATTCCTGAACAGCCCTACTGTGTGTGCCCAGAAATCACCAGAAATCTATTTTCTCCCACTCTGGAACTCGAATCTGCAAACTCAGAAGATAGTATGTCGAGATACCAGTACAACACTCGTAAATGAAAGTAGAACACGTTCAAATCGTTCCGTTCCGTTCCAGGATTTGAGTACACCGATGAACAATCATACACTTCCACTTCCATTACTTTTAAATTCATATCGCGCTCCTCTTTATGTATGACATGTCTATTCATAGGAACGAAGAGATTTTTGTCTCTCCAACAGAATACCACGCCATGAGAAACTAGTGGACAAAGGTAAGAACAAATCCGATTGAAATCTATCGTGGGTATTTAGAAAACTATAGGTATTCAGAGTACTTTAGGTGTTTGGTGTACGGTGTAGCTAGATATAAATAGAGTAAGGATAGGTCACCATTAGCACTTCTATTCGCTAGTTCGTGGGTGCGATTCCCCCGTTGAGGGATTCCGCAGATCCCATTCTCGCCCAAACAACCTAGTAGCACACGGCATCACCCACAAAGATATGAATGGAAAATAAAAATAATAGCACGACAATCGAGTGAACACCGGTGGAATGGTTCGTTCACAGCATTTCATCGTGACAGAGGTCCTGTTTAACTTTGGGGTAAAGGTGTAAATGCTCTACGTACAAACAAGGCAGCGGAAAGTGGCGACATTCTGGACTGTTCTTTCATTTCCGACCGAATAAGAAACTCGGACATCCACTCCCAGCAGTCGATAATGAAAATAGATTGACAAAGAATTTAGGCTGAACGGCCTCTGTCGCTTATGAGGGACCGAAGTGTTTGCTCTTTTGGATGTCAATTTATAGTAGATACGAAAAGAATATATGTAAAGAAATATATGATGAAACCTTGAAGAAGTACTGTACCTAAAATTTGCTTCCACTCAGTATAAATAATCTGTTCAATAAAAGATTACTGGTTATATTCTCATTTTCCCTTTTTTTTCTTTAAATCCTGACCATGAAGTAGTATCTCCTAAAATATCTATATAAGTATATACTACAGTTCGAGCCATTATTTTTTTAAGTACTATGCTTTAGAAGAATCTTTTATTTTGAAGTTGAACTGTGTAATAGACAGATGACTCATGTTTTCCAAGGTATAGGTGTAAAAAAAAAGGGCAATCTACCTTTCACAGATTCAGATGACAAATGGGGTTTTAGGGGGTTTTTTGGGGGGGGGTCTAACATAGATGCTATCCTGTCGGTATCAGATGCTCCTCACCACATTAGTCTATTGGGGTGGGACAGTCATGATTATAGTGCCATATGTGGAATGAATGAGAATATGCTTTTTCCAAGCCTGGGATAGAATAAGACCAAGTGCTAGATGGTAATTAAGTCGTAAATGGTTGGTAGCATGATATTTCACTCTAGCAATTGTAGTCATACTACTATGATGCAGTACCTTGTCTACCGCATGTATACACTCACCACCCCTCGACTATTGTCCTTAGCACATGCTGCCCTGTGTTTGTATATGCCTAGTCTATCATTAAGGGAGCGGGGAGGGGTTCTGGTGGTCCAGGAGTATGACTGTTACAAATAGATAGACATGTGTGGTGTGGGGGGGGAATACAAAATACATATCACCAGGAGTTGAGATCTCCCAATGACCCAAATAACTACGTAGGCCGGGCAACACCGAACCCTCTCAGAAAGCAGGAGGACACTCTCTTGCATTCTTGATACAGATAGCGTAAACGTTCTTGGTCACATGCATCCGTAGGCGTCGTGAGTCACAACTCTCGCAGATGCCCTTCCAGACAAGGCCCAATGATCTCGATAACCTATCGCCCAATTGTCTCAGCAATTTCTGTAAACGTTTAAAGCACGGTGGGTGCTATTCAACCCGTACTCACACACGCCCAGCGATTCTATCTGCCTGTTTCTTGATGTGCTTGCGAAAGCTCCTCCTCCGACTAAACACCGGTTCCATCCCTACGGCATTAAACTTGTCAATAGCACTCGCTCGCGCCTCATCTGCGACATTAACCAGGTTTACAGCCACCCCCTGCTTGCCATTACGGGCCGTTCTACCTACTCTGTGTAGGTAATCGACGGCGTTCAGTGCGAAATCGTACTGTACCACCAGATCGATGTCGTCCACATCTAAGCCTCGCGCCGCAACATCCGTACATACTAGCACAGACACCTCACCCTTTAAGAACGAGGCCCAGGCCTTGGATCTGTGTTCGCTGTCCTGCTGACCGTGCAAGAGTGCACACACATGCGCCTTCCCCGCGTACTGCAACTCCTTGTCGAGGGCTCGGTACACATCCTCGGCCGATTGGGCGGTGTTGGCGAATACCAGCACACGCGGCATTGACGTTGACGCTCGCACACCCTTTGGCTGGTTAGCGCTTGCGGCATTGCCAAGCTGTTTGATGTGCACAAAATCCGCCTGCACTATAGGCGACACCATATGCCGCTTCAGTACATCGGCAATCAGGGCGGCCTTGTCCTCGTCTCGCACGCGTACCATCACCTGGGCTAGGTGTGATACGGTGCGATGCCATCCCTCTGTGCTGAGTCGGACTGCTTTGGGGAACATCCGATTGACGGTGTTGTCGAGTGATTTGGTGCCTGCTGTGGGGAGCGTGGCTGCTGCGAGGATGGTCTGTGGTGTGTGCCCTATGTCGGCCAAGAGTGCCTGTGCATGCAACGGGAGGAGGTGACTGCTTAGCAAGGATAAGGAATGTATATACAAACTACGATAAGTGCGAACTTGGAATTGTACAGAACAGGATAGGCACGTACAATAGACACACGTCCATCTTAACACAGTGCGCGATGGCATATATTATAGTGATCACTCGACCCACATACATGCACATACCTGTACAGATGGCAACATGCTCGGACTCAGCAGCAGATCCGCTTCATCGAGCACGAGCTTCGTGATCCCCTCAGTGCGATCAGAATGTGGGTAAGAAAGCAATGCAGCAGGTGTGCCCACAATCAGTCGTGTGTTCTCAAACACACTCATACGATGAAACCGACTGGCCATGCTCACACCCACATCCACCCCTTTAGCAAACACCGAAGCCACGTTGTACACTTGCGTGACCAGTTCACTCGTGGGTAGTAGTATCAGGGCCTTCTCTCTATTTATATTTGTATCTGCGTCATTATCTAAGTTGTTATTCATATATCTGGGGGACTCTATTAAGCGTTGCAGTGTCGGTAGAAGATACGCCAATGTCTTACCACTACCTGTCTCTGCACCCAACAGTGTGTGACTCTTCGCATCGTTGCATAGATGGGGTATGGCCAATTGTTGTATTCTTGTGGGCACAGAGAATTTTGCTCGCGCGAGTGTCTTGACTAGCCGGGGATCTAGACCCAGCGATTGGAACTTCGACATTTTCATACACTATACCCTCCGCGACCTATGTATTATATGCATGTATGTACTGTATACAATATCAAGTGATATGTTTATATAAACATAAATACATAACCCTGAGCTGTGTTGAACCTGTGAGTTACTCTTGATGAGGTCTGATAGACGCCTCGGCAAATGAATGATTCGCGTGGGACATCCGAACAGGTACCGAACTTTTCTCCGACCTCCACGCAAGAAGGCAATATGTACATAATTGAGACTACATATTGAGTGATTTCTGAGAATAAATAAATAAGAGCGCCTATTTGGCAAGCACCACAGTAAATACTTCATTTATTCACAGTTGCGTGTGCTCGTTTAATTAAAGCTAGTAGAGAGTGGGTGCTGCAGACACGTATATGCGTAAGAACTACTACTACACGTCCTATCCAGGTGTGCCTTCACCAGTGTCCACATAACGGCATTGTCACAATATCCCATACATTAGAGCTCGGGTTTTTGATCAGCACTATGAATTCCTCGGCTGCCAGACCCGTCCTGAGTGTTCGCGCGGTAAGCATGTAGCATCACACATATCGCATGCGCACGTATTTTGAATGGGAAACATAAAGCTAGTTCAATATGGGCTATGTTTCTTCTTGGCCAAAAGTGTCGACCGATAGTACTGAGTTGATATGGGTTGTTGTCGTCTACACTATCGTGTCAGATATAGAATGTGTTCCTCAAGTTCGTACAACCCTACAAGAACATGTTTTTCGTCTACTTCAATTCTATTTTGACTTTCGAATCAATTACAACTACACTTATAATAAATGTGCACGTACTTCGATCTTTACTTTAAAGTGCACATATATAGATCGTTGTAAGATATGAACCATATGGAAAGATTCGTCTCTCCATCAGAAATACACACCTATGAATATAGATAACACATGAATTCGAAACGTAGATAAGTATGTATATATATATATGTGTGTGTGTGTGTGTTTGTATGTGTGGGTGTGGGTGTGTGTGCTTATGTGTGTGTGTGTGTTTGTATATATATATGCGCGTGTGTGTGGGTGTGGGTGTATAAATATATATATATATATATATATATGTGTGTGTGTGTGTGTGTGTATATATAATTGTATATATAGTGGGATCCTCTAGAGTCGGACC